AGAGAGAGAGAGAGAGAGAGAGAGAGAGAGAGAGAGAGAGAGAGAGAGAGAGAGGTGCTCATTTCTGTGTTTTCTGAGCACGGCGAAGAAATGTGTGCGTCAAGACTCTATTGGTGATTTGTTCAACTGATCCTCGACGGCTATAGAAAGAAATGTATCTCTTTGTTTTCCCTGTCAGGTTAGGAGTTTGTGGCGATGTTCATGCTTCTGGTGATCGAAGGGTAAATTACTAATTACTAAATTTTGAAGTGCCACATGCTTGTAATTTTTTCCCATAAAAATCTACGGCAGTTAGTTGCCGTGATTTGTACCCAATTTCCTAAAGTATGTGAGTGTTGCTCACATACAAGGTTGATGCACATGGAGGATGTTGTGGGATTTTTTTCTTTCGGGCTTCTGTCTTGTCGTACTCAGTAACAGCAAGTTGAATCGGCGTTCAGTATCTTCCTATGATCCTCTTGTTTTCAATTTCCTCTTCATTAAATTTTCAATTTTGTCCTTTTTGGTAACAGCAACTAAAGCTTTGAATCTTTGCCAGTAGTGTGTCCAGGTGCACGTAGGTTCCTAAGGTTCAACCATATGCAACCGGGTCCAACCAGGTCCAGATATAGATCCAACCATGTCGAACCAAGTCCAGGTAGGTCCAACCATGTGGAAGCAGGTCCAGGTAGGTCCAACCATGTGGAAGCAGGTCCAGGTAGGTCCAACCGTGTGGAAGCACGTCCAGGTAGGTCCAACCATGTGGAAGCATGTCCAGGTAGGTCCAACTGTGTGGAAGCAGGTCCAGGTTTAGACCTCACTGGACCTGGTTGGACGTGCTTGGACCTGCTTCCACATGTGGGTCCAACCATGTGGAAGCAGGCCCAGGTAGGTCCAACCATGTGGAAGCAGGTCCAGGTAGGTCCAACCATGTGGAAGCATGTCCAGGTAGGTCCAACCATGTGGAAGAAGGTCCAGGTAGGTCCAACCATGTGGAAGCAGGTCCAGGTTTAGACCTCACTGGACCTGGTTGGACGTGCTTGGATCTGCTTCCACATGTGGGTCCAACCATGTGGAAGCAGGTCCACGTAGGTCCAACCATGTGGAAGCAGGTCCAGGTAGGTCCAACCATGTGGAAGCAGGTCCAGGTTTAGACCTCACTGGACCTGGTTGGA